AAGAGTTAAGTAAAAAATAGATAAGTAAAAATAAAAATAATTTAATAACAAATTATTAAAGAGCAGCAGTAAAATAACAGTATGGCGGCTATATACAGGGGGTACCGGTACATAGTCAATGTGCAGATAGTCAAGGTAATTGAGGTAATATGTACATGTAGGTGGAGTTAAAGAGACTATGCATAGATAATAAACAGAGAGTAGCAGCAGCGTAAAAAGAGTGGTTGGGGGGCATTGAAGCTTGTTTTACTATTCTTATGAATCTCATTTTGGTCTTGTCGTGTATTAGGATTATGCCTTTGTTAAATGTTTTTAAGTGGAACTGAAAGAATGTTGATTTTAGTATCAAGAGGGAATGTTTTAGTGTAACGCCACATACAACAGACAGGAAGTGTGTTGTAGACAGGGGAGACTGGTGATTGGCCAGAAGAGGGAGCCCATCTTTTTGCATTGTTTATAAGTAGGGGTTAAACGATGAAAGGTTAGAGCGGCCATTCTGAGGCGTCGCTCTCCGGATGTCATGACATCTGTCACTTATGCTGAAGCTTGTGATCTGAATAAACCTTATGATCAAAGTTCAGTATGAGCGGTATCAGCAATAATTGCCACCATTCACCCGATACGACAGTCTCTCTATCTCTCTCTCTATCTCGCTCTCTCTCTCTCTCGCTCTATCTCTCTCTCTCTCTCTCTCTCTCTCTCTCTCTCTCTCTCTCTCTCTCTCTCTCTCTCTCTCTCTCTCTCTCTCTCTCTCTCTCTCTCTATCTCAATCCATCTCTTAGCCTAGCTTACCCAACGTTAAAGCCTGAAACATAATCTGGCCTGTGCTTACTCTGCGTTTTTCCCCTGCTGTTTGCTTGTGTACGCTCCCTGTCACCACCACTTAGCTTTCCTCCCCTTTCACCAAGCACATGTTACTACCAGGAAGCACCATTTGGGGTGAGTCTCAAACAACATTAAAACATACCCATACTATAAGACTAAGGCCAACAGTAATAGCTTTTTAATCGAAACCCCAAGTCATCCCTAACACTTTCTCTGTCCCTGGTAATCTTTGTTCTCTCTGTCCACTTCAAGACACCCCAGGGATAGAGTGTGCTAGAGAGGGAGGGAGAGAGTGAGTGTCCGGCAGTCCAGTGGTGGTCACCCTGCCAAGGACTGACTGAGGGTCGTAAGGAGAGGGGCGCGCACTGGCAGGATGCCCCTCGGCCCTCGCAGCACTTGGTACTGTAGGGGCAGCTGAGTGAAGGTTCAAATGCTACCCTCCCCCCTACCCCCCCAACACTTGCTGGGTCTTTGGGTGGGGTGGGTGAGCGGCTGGCCAGGCGGCTGCAGGGCCCTTCAAGCCCCTCTTAAACCACGCTCAGGGCACCTGACCCTGGGTAAACTGACACATGCCTGGGGCTCTCTGGACGTAGATGGACGTGCTATGTGTTGTGACCCCGAGTGTGTTCTGACCTCACAGCAGCGGGTATGGTACACTGCCCCTATGTCCCCCATCCCTTCCAAATCAACTTCCAAGGCAGTGTTTTTTCTAGTACCCAAGCACCTGACCAAGGGCCTGCTGGCATTAGTTACTGTATAACACAATTGGGTTCAATTACAATTTGAAATATTTAGAATACTCTTAGCGTTTGCTTTAGCCTGCCTGGAGTGCCATATGGGCGGGATCTGCACCAGTCAAGCGCAATCAAGAACAGATAAAGCATTTGAAATGATTTAAAATAGCGTTAGAACCCAGGTCTGATGTAAAGTTTCAGAGTGTTGGTGGCTGTCTGAGATATTGCCATGGGCAACACTTGCCGCCCAAGGTGTGGCTAATGTGATGTTAAACTGTGGTCGTAATGATGTTGATGAAATCATACAGTAATTCGAAAAAGATTTGGATGGTTAAATAACATTATAGTGCTAACATCTGCAGGGACATAAAAGGAAGATAATAGTACTATTTGTGGCGTGTTTTTATTAGTTTGAGCACAAACAACATACAGTTGTGTCCCAGTTATCACATTGATCTCAACATGAAATAAAAACACGACGCTCGTCTCCTAGAACTCTAAGGAGTTGTGCACACGCATGCTGAAACACATGCACACACATCATACGCCCGTATTCAGAAGCACACTCGCAGGCCATATTTAACCCGCCTTGACAAGGCTGTTAATTTCTCTAGGAGCACGGATGAATTCCAGGGCCCTCTTTTTTTTCTCATCCCTCCTTTCCTCCTGCTCTCCTCCTTCCCTCCAAAATGTCCAGCTGTTCCAAGTGGAGACAGCTGCGTTTGGAGTGGAACCAATCTCAGCTGTCAGAGGAGAGAGAGAGGAGTGAGGGAGAGGTGGGGGAGTAGGGTTTAGGGGGTGAGTAGGGCAAGAAGGGGTGGAGGTCTAAAAATGCTGAAAGACGGCTTCAGTTTTGGGGCCAAGGAGAGGTGGCCTAGGCTGTCAGCTGTCCTTGTGCGTCCAGCCAGTCCCTCTTACTAGACCATTGAGTTGGGCAGCAGGTTCAACTCACTGGTTGGGCCATTAAAATGTCTCCTGAGTCCCTAAGAAGCATGAACTTCTTCACCTCTTTATTTCTATGAGTGCTGGGGTAAAACGGTCTAAAGGCACTGTCTCTGTGTGAGTGAGTGTGTGTGTGTGTGTGTGTCTGTTTCTCTCTCTCTCTCTCTCTCTCTGTGTGTGCTTGCGTGCGTGTGTGCTTCCGTCCGTCCGTGTGTGTGTGTGTGTGTGTGTGTGTGTGTGTGTGTGTGTGTGTGGAGAAAATGTCACAACAGACAGATCACCTTTTTGGACTGTGTGTGTCTGTTTCTCTCTCTCTCTGTGTGTGTGTGTGTGCGTGCGTGTGTGCGTGCGTGTGCGCGTGTGTACGTGCGTGCGTGCGTGCGCGCGCGCACGCACGCGTGTGTGTGTGTGTGTGTGGAGAAAATGTCACAACAGACAGATCACCTTTTTGGACTGAGGTAAGTAATTCATAGAAAACATATTTTAAAAAGTAACAGAGGTCAAAAACACTCAATCCCGTTTATGACTTTGCAAATGTCAGTTGATCTGCCTGTTAATTTGTCTGTGATATGCCTTTATCTTTCCCATTGTCTTGATGTTGATTTGTGATGCCTGGAGCAACAACAACAAAAAGACTAAACATATTCATGTGAAATGAAAATAAAGTAAACATACATTTAAACTTGGTAATTGAATGGTCTTTCTTTTGCCCTTCCAAATGTAATGTCTGGCCTGTAGCTCCCTCTGGTGGCGCTTTACTAAAGATCACTGCAAACTTCAATAGACTGACTCTACTGAGTAATAATAATAATAATAATAATATGACATTTAGCAGACGCTTTTATCCAAAGCGACTTACAGTCATGCGTGCATACATTTTTGTGTATGGGTGGTCCCGGGGATCGAACCCACTACCTTGACGTTACAGGCGCCGTGCTCTACAAGCTGAGCTACAGAGGACCACATCAACAATACAATCATAGTTATCAGGTGCAGTCTTCATTGTTCAAACTGTATTAAGTTATCATGCAGGTATAACGTGGTTAACAGAGCTATGGCTCTGCGTGGTAGTCTAGGATACAGTCTGAACACAGTTGATGTTAAAATAGACTGACTGGTACGCAGGTAAACATGGAGCACTAATTAAATTCCCATATTAGGAATGAATTTAGGTCAGTGTATTAAGTTATTTTAGTCTTTGAGTAAAGAAAATACTTGCGAAATGTGTGTCTGCTTATTCAAATACGTGTGTAGGTTATTATTATAGGCAACACAGCAAATGGGTATCACTTTGACTTTGAATTATTGTTCAGATGTGAATATTGACATATGCATTAATGTTGAATAGCCATAGACTAATGAATTTTGCATCACTTCGAGATTAGAGAGTACCTTCGACATATCGTCGCAAAACCAGTGCAATCACAGTGCTGCGCATGTGCAGTGTTAAGCAAGTTCCTTTTCTGTCCACGAAATGTGGGCTACAACCAGCTGGATAGGTTTGAGAGCAGCCGATTTAGGGTCGTCAGTAGGTAGTTACCACAGCCACAAAGTCATAATTATGGCTATACCTCGCCTATTTCTACAATTTTATCTTCTTATAATCTGAGTTTAAACCTAACCTTAAATGAAGACCAAAAAGCAGATTATTTTTTTCATGAATTTTTACGATAGGCCTATAGCCAATTTGACTTTGTAGTTGTGGTAACTAGTGACAACCCCGATTTAGCGGCATTTTAAAATGAATACTCTTCCAAATAACTGGTAGGCATACTTTGTTGACTCATATAACAACAATTTGCCACTTAACGAGCACATACGAAGAAAAACTATGAGTTTGAAAGATAATGAATCATAATTGTTTGTTTTCAGAAACATATACTGTTTCAGCCTAAACAGCTCAATATTGCTCCACTTTACAGATAGCCGGTGGATTTATTTGAATGGGCGCTTTTCATGGTGCTGAATGGCTGTTAAAATGCAGTGCTCCTTTGAAAGTGTTTCAAAATTCCTACAAGCAGCACGCTGCAGCACGCACAGCGTGCAAAGCTTCGCTTGTCTTGCAAGGTGGCGTTTGTTCGTGCGTTGCTTGCTGGTCGCTGTTAATAAACGCCTGCTGCCTATTGTTATTGGAAAAGGCTGCTGAAAGCCCAGTCTCATCATTGGCAAGGAAGAAGCGGGAGGGACCTGAACAAGGATAAGAGTGCAAGTCAGCTGTGTTTCAGGAGGTAGCCTAGCAGTGTGCTTTTTGCTCTACAGAGAGAAGACCCAAGTCGAACCGTTCACTCAAGTTTTATTGTGACATGAGGAAAGTGTCGCTAGGCATGATTTCAACGTGCAGGTGAAACCGGGAAGGATTTTTTTTATTTCAGTCCCACTGCACAACTTCTAAAACAAAAACTAATAATTTGACTTGTTTATCGTGCGCAACCGCTCAAATCTTTCGCGCCACTCTCAAACGTCACACTTTCTTATAATCTGTTAACTGTTTGGAGTGAAATGTCCCGCAAAAAGGCGGGTAAGGGCAAAAACGCCAACACCAGCCCGACGACAGGCAGCCCCATCGGAAAACAGAACGGGAAAAGTGGGAAGTGCACCGCAGGGACCGGGAGCGTGGTGCAGGCGAACGGTGTGGTTCATCCGAGCAGACCCTCACTCAGCAACAGCAGCGAGTTTTATGACATCGCATTCAAGGTAAGTGCACCTAAGCATAGCCCTTAATTTGTAAACAATAACATTAGGTTACTTCATTATTTTATCTCAGCATATTGCTAGTTTGTTAGGCTGTTATGATTCAACAACATATCATCACATATTAGAGGCATAATCATGACAGGTTGATAGGCTACAGATGACAGGTTGATAGGCTACAGATGACAGGTTGATAGGCTACAGATGACAGGTTGATAGGCTACAGATGACAGGTTGATAGGCTACAGATGACAGGTTGATAGGCTACAGATGACAGGTTGATAGGCTACAGATGACAGGTTGATAGGCTACAGATGACAGGTTGAAAGGCTACAGATGACAGGTTGATAGGCTACAGATGACAGGTTGATAGGCTACAGATAATACATGTAATGTGTGAATGCACGTCAAGCAAGTAGGCCTAGACCTAGGTTAGCCTACATGTTTGAAAGGACTAATGGGTTGTAAATGTTATGTTGTGTATAACTTTAATCACCACAGTGACCTTTTCCTGTTCACTTTGTCAAGCCTGGGGTGTTTTACAAGACCACAAAACACTCATTCATCAAACCGAGCTAATGCCTCCGCCACAGCTGTGTCACTAAAGACAATCGATAGCACCTCAGTAACCAATGAAGGTCACATGGGACCAAGAGCCAACAAATCTCATAATTGATTATCTATTTGGCAGTTTTCTGTGTACTAGTGTAGCCATATAGTCTTAAGGCTAATCAACAGGTTATGATGGGTATTCATTCATCCTGTCACTGCTTCAAAGTGCGCTCTCTCTCTCAATTCAATTGAAGGGCGTTATTGGCATGGGAAACGTACGTTAACATTGCCAAAGAAAGTGAAGTAGATAGTAAACCAAAATAAAATAAACAATAAATATTAACAGTAAACATTACACTCAGAAGTTCCAAAAGAATAAAGACATTTCAAATATCATATTATGTATATATACAGTGTTGTCACAATGTGCAAATAGTTAAAGTACAAATGGGAAAATAAATAAACATATGGGTTGTATTTACAATGGTGTTTGTTCTTCACTGGTTGCCCTTTTCTTGTGGCAACAGGTCACAAATATTGCAGCTGTGATGGCACACTGTGGTTTTTCACCCAGTAGATAAGGGAGTTTAACAAAATTGGGTTTGTTTTCGAATTCTTTGTGGATCTGTGTAATCTGAGGGAAATATGTCTAATATGGTCATACATTTGACAGGAGGTTAGGAAGTGCAGTTTCCACCTCATTTTGTGGGCAGTGTGCACATAGCCTGTCTTCTCTTGAGAGCAGTTGTAAATGAGAACTTGTCCTCAACTGGCTTACCTGATTTAAATAAAGGTGGAAAAAAAAGTCTGGTCTGCCTACGGCGGCCTTCCTCAATAGCAAGGCTATGCTCACTGAGTCTGTACATAGTCAAAGCTTTCCTTAAGTTTGGGTCAGTCACAGTGGTCAGGTATTCTGCCACTGTGTACTCTCTGATTAAGGCCAAATAGCATTCTAGTTTGCTCAGTTTTTTTTTTTTATTCTTTCCAATGTGTCAAGTAATTCTCTTTTTGCTTTCTCATGATTTGGTTGGGTCTAATTGTGTTGTCCTTTTTATTTTATTTTTATTTCACCTTTATTTAACCAGGTAAGCCAGTTGAGAACAAGTTCTCATTTACAACTGCGACCTGGCCAAGATAAAGCAAAGCAGTGCGATTAAAAACAACAAAACAGAGTTACATATGGGGTAAAAAAAACATAAGGTCATAAAATACAACAGAAAATATATATACAGTGTGTGCAAATGTAGCAAGTTATGGAGGTAAGGCAATAAATAGGCTATAGTGCAAAATAATTACAATAGTATTAACACTGGAATGCTAGATGTGCAAGAGATTATGTGCAAATAGAGATACTGGGGTGCAAAAGAGCAAAATAAATAACAATATAGGGATGAGGTAGTTGGGTGGGCTAATTTCAGATGGGCTGTGTACAGGTGCAGTGATCGGTAAGGTGCTCTGACAACTGATGCTTAAAGTTAGTGAGGGAGATAAGAGTCTCCAGCTTCAGAGATTTTTGCAATTCGTTCCAGTCATTGGCAGCAGAGAACTGGAAGGAATGGCGGCCAAAGGAGGTGTTGGCTCTGGGAATGACCAGTGAGATATACCTGCTGGAGCGCAGACTACGGGTGGGTGCTGCTATGGTGACCAATGAGCTAAGATAAGGCGGGGATTTGCCTAGCAGTGATTTATAGATGGCCTGGAGCCAGTGGGTTTGACGACGAACACGACGAACCAGCCAACAAGAGCGTACAGGTCACAGTGGTGGGTAGTGTATGGGGCTTTGGAGACAAAACGGATGGCACTGTGATAGACTACATCCAATTTGCTGAGTAGAGTGTTGGAGGCTATTTTGTAAATGACATCGCCGAAGTCAAGGATCGGTAGGATAGTCAGTTTTACGAGGGCATGTTTGGCAGCATGAGTGAAGGAGGCTTTGTTGCGAAATAGGAAGCCGATTCTAGATTTAACTTTGAATTGGAGATTCTTAATGTGAGTCTGGAAGGAGAGTTTACAGTCTAACCAGACACCTAGGTATTTGTAGTTGTCCACATACTCTAGGTCAGACCCGTCGAGAGTGGTGATTCTAGTCGGGTGGGCGGGTGCCAGCAGCGTTCGATTGAAGAGCATGCATTTAGTTTTACTAGTGTTTAAGAGCAGTTGGAGGCTACTGAAGGAGTGTTGTATGGCATTGAAGCTCGTTTGGAGGTTTGTTAACACAGTGTCCAATGAAGGGCCAGATGTATACAAAATGGTGTCGTCTGCGTAGAGGTGGATCTGAGAGTCACCAGCAGCAAGAGCGACATCATTGATATACACAGAGAAAAGAGTCGGCCCAAGAATTGAACCCTGTGGCACCCCCATAGACTGCCATAGGTCCTGGGGCTCTGTGGGGTCTGTTTGTGTTTGTGAACAGCGCACCAGGACCAGCTTACTCAGGGGACTCTTCTCCAAGTTAATCTCTCTGTAGGTGATGGCTTTGTTATGGAAGGTTTGGGAATCACCTCCTTTTAAGTGGTTTTTAACGGCTCTTTTCTGGATTTTGATAATTAGTGGGTATCGGCCTAATTCTGCTCTGCATGCATTATTTGGTGTTTTTCGTTCTACACAGAGGATATTTTTGCAGAATTCTGAGTCTCAATTTGGTGTTTGTCCCATTTTGTGAATTCTTGGTTGGTGAGTGGACCCCAGACCTCACAACCATAAAGGGCAATGGGTTCTATAACTGATTCAATTATTTTTTGCCAGATCCTAATTGGTGTGTCGAATTTTATGTTCCTTTTGATGGCATAGAAGGCCCTTCTTGCCTTTGTCTCTCAGATCGTTCACAGCTTTGTGGAAGTTACCTGTGGCACTGATGTTTATACCGAGGTATGTATAGTTTTTTGTGTGCTCTAGGGCAACGGTGTCTAGATGGAATTTGTATTCGTGGTCCTGGCAACTGGACCTTTTTTGGAACACCATTATTTTTGTCTTACTGAGATTTACTGTCAGTGCCCATGTCTGTCTCTGTTTCTCTCTCCTCTCTTATCATTTTCCTCTCCTCCCCCCCTCTCTCCATCTCCCTCTCTCTCTATCTCTCTGTCGCTCTCCCTTTCTGTGCCATACAGTGGGGGAAAAAAGTATTTAGTCAGCCACCAATTGTGCAAGTTCTCCCACTTAAAAAGATGAGAGGCCTGTAATTTTCATCATAGGTACACGTCAACTATGACAGACAAATTGAGAGAAAAATCCAGAAAATCACATTGTAGGATTTTTAATGAATTTATTTGCAAATTATGGTGGAAAATAAGTATTTGGTCACCTACAAACAAGCAAGATTTCTGGCTCTCACAGACCTGTAACTTCTTCTTTAAGAGGCTCCTCTGTCCTCCACTCGTTACCTGTATTAATGGCACCTGTTTGAACTTGTTATCAGTATAAAAGACACCTGTCCACAACCTCAAACAGTCACACTCCAAACTCCACTATGGCCAAGACCAAAGAGCTGTCAAAGGACACCAGAAACAAAATTGTAGACCTGCACCAGGCTGGGAAGACTGAATCTGCAATAGGTAAGCAGCTTGGTTTGAAGAAATCAACTGTGGGAGCAATTATTAAGAAATGGAAGACATACAAGACCACTGATAATCTCCCTCGATCTGGGGCTCCACACAAGATCTCATCCCGTGGGGTCAAAATGATCACAAGAACTGTGAGCAAAAATCCCAGAACCACACTGGGTGACCTAGTGAATGACCTGCAGAGAGCTGGGACCAAAGTAACAAAGCCTACCATCAGTAACACACTACGCCGCCAGGGACTCAAATCCTGCAGTGCGAGACATGTCCCCCTGCTTAAGCCAGTACATGTCCAGGCCCGTCTGAAGTTTGCTAGAGTGCATTTGGATGATCCAGAAGAGGATTGGAAGAATGTCAAATGGTCAGATGAAACCAAAATATAACTTTTTGGTAAAAACTCAACTCGTCATGTTTGGAGGACAAAGAATGCTGAGTTGCATCCAAAGAACACCATACCTACTGTGAAGCATGGGGGTGGAAACATCGTGCTTTGGGGCTGATTTTCTGCAAAGGGACCAGGACGACTGATCCGTGTAAAGGAAAGAATGAATGGGGCCATGTATCGTGAGATTTTGAGTGAAAACCTCCTTCCATCAGCAAGGGCATTGAAGATGAAACGTGGCTGGGTCTTTCAGCATGACAATGATCCCAAACACACCGCCCGGGCAACGAAGGAGTGGCTTCGTAAGAAGCATTTCAAGGTCCTGGAGTGGCCTAGCCAGTCTCCAGATCTCAACCCCATAGAAAATCTTTGGAGGGAGTTGAAAGTCCGTGTTGCCCAGCGACAGCCCCAAAACATCACTGCTCTAGAGGAATGGGCCAAAATACCAGCAACAGTGTGTGAAAACCTTGTGACGACTTACAGAAAACGTTTGACCTGTGTCATTGCCAACAAAAGGGTATATAAAAAAGTATTGAGAAACTTTTGTTATTGACCAAATACTTATTTTCCACCATAATTTGCAAATAAATTCATTAAAAATCCTACAATGTGATTTTCTGGAAATGTTTTTCTCATTTTGTCTGTCATAGTTGACGTGTACCTATGATGAAAATTACAGGCCTCTCATCTTTTTAAGTGGGAGAACTTGCACAATTGGTGGCTGACTAAATACTTTTTTTCCCCACTGTACCTAAATGTGCAGCCAAACTCTCTTACCCCGGCTCTCCTTCTGGTGATGTGCCTGTCTGTCTTTGAAGTGACTGTTTGATGTGATGACTGGTTGCTTGTTTTTCTCTTATCTCTGAGTATTGGAAATATTGTATTCCCCGCTGAGTGTCATTTCTCTACTACATTTATTTACCTCTGAATGTAGCATATCTTTTTCCATAGAAATATGTATTTTAGGACGAGCCAACTGATTAAACAAAGGGAAGTGGTGGTTGTTAGGATGAACCAACATGGTTTTTAAAGAACAGGTTGTTGTCAGAGCGGGCGTAGGTGTGGTGTAGGAATCAGATGCAGGACACAGATGCTAGTCCAAAAATACTTTAGTAAAGTCCACAAAAGAACGGCTACAAACAGAGCCGGAGGCACGAGAACAATAACGCACACAGCGTATAAATGCAAAACACAGCAAACGCACAACAAGTGCAGACTCTCTATCCAATATAAAATAGAGCACTAACTGACTGGAAGCACCAGCTGACAAGGAACAACTACACACAACCACAAGACAGAAACAACGAGAACTTAAAGGACACATAATCAAGACAAAATGAGAAACAGGTGTACCAAAACAGACCAAACCAAACAAACACAGAAACAACGAACGGTGGCAGCTAGTACTCCGGGGACGACGACCGCCGAAGCCTGCCCGAACAAGGAGAAGGAGCAGCCTCGGCCGAAACCGGGACAGGTGTTGTGTTTTGATGAGAGTTTAACTGATTGATTGACAGCTTTCTTCCCAATCACCATCCTGTTGATGAGTCACTGTTAGTTAGGCTGTCTGAATGGTAGCCTATTTCTCTGAAACACTCCTGTTGCTCCAATACGAGTGAGGATATACTGAACAAAAATATATGTTTAATGAGCTGAAATATAAGATCCCTGAAATTTTCCATATGCACAAAAAGCTTATTTATCTCAAATTTTGTTAACAAATTTGTTTACATCCCTTTTAGTGAGTATTTGCCTTTGCCAAGATAATCCATCCACCTGATTGTTGTGGCATATCAATAAGCTGATTTAAACAGCATGATCATTACATAATGCCACAGATGTCTCAAGTTTTGAGGGAGTGCGCAATTGGCATGCCGACTGCAGGAATGTCCATCAGAGCTGTTGCCAGAGAATGTATTGTTCATTTCTATACCATAAGCCACCTCCGTTTTAGAGAATTTGGCAGTACGTCCAACCGGCCTCACAACCGCAAACTCTGTGTGTGGGCGGGTGGTTTGCTGATGTCAATGTTGTCAACAGAGTGCCCCGTGGTGGCAGTGGGGTTATGGTATGGGCAGGCATAAGCTACAGACAACAAGCACAATTGCATTTTATCAATGGCAATTTGAATGCACATTTTTACTGATCACGCTCTTCGTAGCCGATGTGAGTAAGACTTTTAAGCTGGTCAACATTCACAAGGATTACCAGGATGTGTACTCCGAGCATGCGCTGACCAACTGGCAAGTGTCTTCACTGACATTTTCAACCTCTCCCTGTCTGAGTCTGTAATACCAACATGTTACAAGCAGACCACCATAGTCCCTGTGCACAAGAACACTAAGGTAACCTGCCTAAATGACTACCGACCCGTAGCACTCACGTCTGTAGCCATGAAGTGCTTTGAAAGGCTGGTCATGTCTCACATTAACACCATTATCCCAGAAACCCTAGACCCACTCCAATTTGCATACCGCCCCAACACATCCACAGATGATGCAATCTCTATTGCACTCAACACTGCCCTTTCCCACCTGGATAAAAGGAACCCCTATGTGAGAATGCTATTCATTGACTACAGCTCAGCGTTCAACACCATAGTGCCCTCAAAGCTCATCACTAAGCTAAGGACCCTGGGACTAAACACCTCCCTCTGCAACTGGATCCTGGACTTCCTGATGGGCCGCCCCCAGGTGGTAAGGGTAGGTAACAACACATCCGCCACGCTGATCCTCAACACGGGGGCCCCTCGGGTGCGTGCTCAGTCCCCTCCTGTACTCCCTGTTCACCCATGACTGCATGGCCAGGCACGACTCCAACACCATCATTAAGTTTGCAGACGACACAACAGGGGTAGGCCTGATCAACGACGAGACAGCCTATAGGGAGGAGGTCAGAGACCTGGCCTCTCCCTCAACGTGATCAAGACAAAGGAGATGATTGTGGACTACAGGAAAAAGAAGAGGACCGAGCACGCCCCCATTCTCATCGACGGGGCTGTAGTGGAGCAGGTTGAGAGCTTCAAGTTCCTTGGTGTCCACATCACCAACAAACTAACATGGTCCAAGCACACCAAGACAGTCGTGAAGAGGGAATGACAAAACCTATTCCCCCTCAGGAGACTGAAAAGATTTTGCATGGATCCGCAGATCCTCAAAAGGTTCTACAGCTGTACCATCGAGAGCATCCTGACTGGTTGCATCACTGCTTGGGTATGGCAACTGCTCGGCCTCCGACCGCAAGGCACTACAGAGGGTAGTGCGTACGGCCCAGTACATCACTGGGGCCAAGCTTCCTGCCATCCAGGACCTCTATACCAGGTGGTGTCAGAGAAAGGCCCTAAAAATTGTCAAAGACTCCATCCACCCTAGTCATAGACTGTTCTCTCTGCTACCGCACGGCAAGCGGTACCTGGGCGCCAAGTCTAGGTCCAAGAGGCTTCTAAACAGCTTCTACCCCCAATCCATAAGACTTCTGAACATCTGAAGCCCCCCCCCCCCCCCCCCCCCCCCCCCTGTTTATTATCTCTGCGTAGTCACTTTAATAACTCTACATACATATTACCTCGACTAACCGGTGCCCCCGCACATTGACTTGTTTCCGGTACCCCCTGTATATATCCTCGCTATTGTTATTTTTACTGCTGCACTTTAATTATTTGGTACTTTTATTTAGTATTTTATATTGTGTGTGTGTGTGTATGTATATGTGTGTGTGTGTGTATATATATATATATATATATATATATATATATATATATATATATATATATATATATATATATATATATATATAAAAAAAAAAATGGTATTCTTTCTTAACTACGTTGTTGGTTAAGGGCTTGTAAGTAAGCATTTCACTGTTCTATTTGGCGCATGTGTCTGGCACCTTCCCAAGTTCTCTCACGTCACCCCCCTCCTCCGCACACTCCACTGGCTTCCAGTTGAAGCTCGCATCCGTTACAAGACCATGGTGCTTGCCTATGGAGCAGTGAGGGGAACGGCACCTCCGTACCTTCAGGCTCTGATCAGTCCCTACACCCAAACGAGGGCATTGCGTTCATCCACCTCTGGCCTGCTGGCTCCCCTTCCTCTGCGGAAGCATAGTTCCCGCTCAGCCCAGTCAAAACTGTTCGCTGCTCTGGCACCCCAATGGTGGAACAAGCTCCCTCACGACGCCAGGACAGCGGAGTCACTCACCACCTTCCGGAGACATTTGAAACCCCACCTCTTTAAGGAATACCTGGGATAGGATAAAGTAATCCTTCTACCCCCCCCTTACCCCACCCCCCAACAAAAAAATTATAATAATAATAATAATTGGAAAGTGGTTATCCCACTGGCTATAGGGTGAATGCACCAATTTGTAAGTCGCTCTGGATAAGAGCGTCTGCTAAATGACGTAAATGTGCCCTTGAGCAAGGCACTTAACCCTAATTGCTCGTGTAAGTCGCTCTGGATAAGAGCGTCTGCTAAATGACTAAAATGTAAAATGTAATGATTTAACAGAGGAAAAACAGGGTACTTCACTTCCTGCTCTATTCACTCTGCCTGGGTCTGTTAACCTCTAAGGGATCAGTGTCCCGTATACGTGACGGTTGAGCTAACATGCACTAATGTGATTAGCATGACTGTAAGTAACAGCAAACTTTCCAGGACATAGACATGTTTTTATATGGGAGAAAGCTTAAATTCTTGTTAATCTAACTGCACTGTCCAATTTACAGTAGCTATTACAGTGAAAAAATACCATGCTGTTGTTTGAGGAGAGTGCACAACAACAACAAAAAACGTATGGTTTGATACTTTCACCTCTGAATGTAAATAATGTCCTTACATTCAATAATCTTGCTCTGATTTGTCATCCTGAGGGTCCCAGAGGTAAAATGTAGCATAGTTTTGTTTGATAAAATCAATTTTTATATTCAAATGTAGGAACTGGGTTCTACAGTTTGAACCCCTGCTGTCTCTGGCTCCACACCCACCCCGCCCGGCCATCTAGATGTGTGAAAGTTAGTGTATAAGCTAATGATCCATCATTAATGACATTCCTGGGAGTGTGTAAACTTACATTTTGTATTACCATATCATTTTTGTATGTTCTCTATAGTTATGTATTTGAAAATGTATCAATTGACCAATTTGGCAGACTTGATACAAAATAGTCCAGTATTGCAATGCTTCACTGGATCAATCTGAAACTTTGCACACAAACTGCTGCCATCAAGTGGCTTAAATTAATTACCCCTAAACTGCTTTTTCTTGCATTTCAAAGATGATGAAAAAATAAATAAATAGAAAACCCATGTTTGTATTATCTTTTACCAGATCTAATGTGATATTCTCCTACATTAATTTTGCATTTCCACAAACTTCAAAAATAGTTTCCTTTCAAATGGTATCAAGAATATGCATATCCTTGCTTCAGGTCCTGAGCTACAGGCAGTTATATTTGGATATGTCATTTTAGGAGAAAATTGAAAAAAGGGGTCCGATCCTTAAGAGGTTAAAAACTGCTGTTTTAAGAGGGAGACAGAGTAAAATACAGTGGATAAGAGAGGATGACGGAGGAGATGAGGGGGGAGGAGAGAAGAGGGGTAGATAAGGATAAGAGAGGATGTGGGAACAGGAGAGAAGATGAGAGGAATGAAGATGCAGCTGAGATTTTATCGACCTGACCTGGCTGGATCTCTACTGCATCTCTCCCTCCATCATCCTCCCCTCCTGGGATGACATGATAATCCTTCAGACTGAGGCCCCGGGGCCCTGTGGTCCCCCAGCTAACCTGATTACACTAACCACATCAACCCTATAACGCCGGAAAGAGAGTAATGTGTGCAGCAGGACCCTCGCACATGCAGACAGACACAGGCACAGAATTCAGCATTGCTATCTGGCCAAAATTAAGAGGACAACCTAATGTCCAGATGCCCAGTCACGCTCTCATCCCTACTGGCCAGATACCAAGATGTCGAGACAGAGCGCTTTAATCAAGGTTTTAATGAATGAATCTGATAGTAATTCTAAACAAAACAAATGGCCAGATGTGCAATAATGTCTAGGTGACTTCCTTATGGCCACTTGTGTTCCTGATGTCTAGCTGTGTTATTGTATGACTTTGGGTCTGTCTCTTAAGTGAATGGAGTTATAATGGTTGTCTGGTTAGAGGTCTGATATCTCCTGTAGTGGACATAGCCATTGTGTACAGCAGTGATTCTTAACCTGTAGTACCCCATGGGGTACCTGTCCTATCCACAGGGGGTACTCAGTTGCAGATGAGGGAGGTACTTCAGGCAGAGTAAAATGTGATTGGAGTAAACAAAAAAACGTTTTTTGAGAACCACTGGTGTACAGGAGTCTGGGGATGGAAACATGGCTGGAACAACATGTCTAGAACAATGTGTTTGGAACAATGTTTCTTTAACAATGTGTCTAGAAAAACATGTCTGGAACAACGTGGCTGGAACAACGTGGCTGGAACAATCCAATATGTTGGGACCAGGGATGGTATGAGGGAGGAGAGTGGGGGGGGGGGTTGTGTTGAAAGACTATTGGACTGTTTTGTGTCTCTGGGGATGTGCGCTGGAACCTGTCATGTTCAGTTTGTCCCTTTACATTGAGACAAAGAGAATGTTCACTCGCTGTTTGACCTTCCTTTGTGCAGCTTCTATCATTCTTTTGGGATGTGTGTGTAAAAAAAAAACACCTTCATTCAGTTTGTCCCTCTTGCTGTGCTGTAGGTGATGCTGGTGGGAGACTCCGGGGTGGGGAAGACCTGTCTGTTGGTGCGCTTCAAAGACGGAGCCTTCCTGGCAGGAAGCTTCATCTCTACTGTGGGTATCGACTTCAGGGTGAGTGGGGATGGATAATACATGGACAAACACACAAGTACACACACACACGTTTTCTATGAAACGAGTAACATTCAATCGATGTCCCTCATACCTCATATCTGTACTTAAAATGGGGCCATTCCTGGCTGAACTTTTTAATAGATTTTTTTCCAGAACAGATCTTTTCCTGTGTCTTTAAGCCCTCCGGCTGGAAGTGTTTCCTCTGTGGATACCAGTCTCTCTAGAAGACACATTGATTCTTAAATTAGTTTGACATGCTTTCATTTAGGAACCTTCCCCTGCTGACGGGCGTCTCCTCTCCTGCGCCAGATTCCCAGCACCCCATGGGCAGAAAGAAATGCATCTAGGAATGAGTCTGGGTTCTGAAATTTAATTTCCAATGTGTCTGGGGGGAGTGTTTGTGTGTACCAGTGGAGGCTGCTGAGGGGTGGACGGCTCATAATAATGTCCGGAACGGGGCAAATGGAAAGGCATTAAACACATGGAAACCATGTGTTTGAAGTATTTGATACCATTCCGCTCCAACCATTACCACGAGCCCGTCCTCCCCAATTAAGGTGCCACCAACCTCCTGTGGTGTGTGTGTATGTGTGCCTGCATTTGCGTGTGTGGTTGGTTTCTCCTTCATTGTATTTATGTATTGCTTCTTGACGTCATACTACTGCGCTGCTTTTGTTAATCTTGTTTCTGTTTAACTGCAGACTTTATAGACTCAAGGCTAGTGCAAGCTATAGCCCTTAAAGCCTTTCCTTTAGAGTAGTCACCCTGATGCCCTAGCGTTATCTGGCAAGCCACAGCGGCTCTGAACTCATAACATTTACATTTTAGTCATTTAGCAGACGCTCTTATCCAGAGTGACTTACAGTTAGTGAGTGCATACATTATTTTATTTTTCATGCTGGCCCCCCGTGGGGCTTACTGCCTCGTCTGCTCATGTCATATTGATTAATTATTTAATTGTGTTGCTGCGCTGTGAGACCTGAATGATTTATATTTTCACCTTCAAGTTTCTCCCTGGCTCTCCTCTGAATGGCCTCTTGTTAAACCGTTCCTCTACAGGATCTCATCCAGCTTGTAAAACCTTTGTGAGTTACACCATAGAAATACAATTCCTCTAGAATGGACAATTCCATTTAATCCTATTAAATAAATTACATTTCAATGCCGTTGTTTGTAATTATTGCCCTCAAGGTTCTCCCTGCCTCCCCTCAGCATGGCCTCTTGTTACAGTACAACAGTTCCTCCAGAGCAGGGATCATCTACTAGATTCAGCCGCATACTTTTTTAAATTTTTTTTCATGAGCGGATGGTCGGGGGGCCGGAACATAATTACAAATAATTTGTAGACTGCAAATTGACCGCAAGAAGCCCAAAAAGATATTATATTTGACTAAAACATAATCATTTCAAACCTTATATACGATCATGTCATCTCCCTCTATTACACCTGGGAATACTTGGGAACATATTTCTTAAATTTTTTTTTTGTGTGTGTTTTTAGTCAAGCCCATTGTGATTATATTAGGTGGTGGAGAACCAGGCAATAGGATTTGATGCTATTTCCACTTCAAAGTGAAGGAACGATGCTCTGTGTGTTTTCTTCCCTCTTGTTAGATTTTTTGTCATGTTCTTGTTAAAGCCACAGCTTGTTCTCTCATTTATAGATCAGGCTATAACAGGAACATGTTGCTCTTTACCATTGATTAGAGGGGGCAGATGAGAGTAGTCAAAGACAGAATCCAGGTTGAGTTAGTTACATTGCAATTCAGTATTCTTCCTAAATTGTTTGAATTAAACCCAACCCTAGACAGAACGGTAACCTTGGAACGTAGAATGATCAGTTACTACATTAGAATGATCAGTTACTACATCAGAATGTTCAGTTACTACATTAGAATGTTTAGTCACTGCATTAGAATGTTTAGTCACAACATTAGAATGTTTATTCACTACATTAGTGTACAGTGAAGCCCCCTGCCTAGATTATACTGCTGCTATGGTCTTCCTGCTGTCAATCACCTGGGTTAAGGATTAGATTACAGTTTATTAGTCACATGCACAGGGTCGCAGATGTAATAGCAAGGTACAGTGACATTCTTAAGATCCAACAGAGCAGGTCAAAGAGAACATTTACATTTACGTCATTTAGCAGACGCTCGTATCCAGAGCGACTTACAAATTGGTGCATTCACCTTATAGCCAGTGGGATAACCACTTTACAATTATTTGTAAAAAAAAATGTTGGGGGGTGGGGTAAGGGGGGGTAGAAGGATTACTTTATCCTATCCCAGGTATTCCTTAAAGAGGTGGGGTTTCAAGTGTCTCCGGAAGGTGGTGAGTGACTCTGCTGTCCTGGCGTCGTGAGGGAGCTTGTTCTACCATTGGGGTGCCAGAGCAGCGAACAGTTTTGACTGGGCTGAGCGGGAACTGTGCTTCCGCAGAGGTAGGCAGGCCAGAGGTGGAGGAACGCAATGCCCTCGTTTGGGTGTAGGGACTGATCAGAGCCTGAAGGTAGGGAGGTGCCGTTCCCCTCACAGCTCCGTAGGCAAGCACCATGGTCTTGTAGCAGATGCAAGCCTCAACTGGAAGCCAGTGGAGTGTGCGGAGGAGCGGGGTGACGTGAGAGAACTTGGGAAGGTTGAACACCAGACGGGCTGCGGCATTCTGGATGAGTTGTAGGGGTTTAATGGCACAGGCAGGGAGCCCAGCCAACTGTGAGTTGCCGTAATCCAGACGGGAGATGACAAGTGCCTGGATTAGGACCTGTGCCGCTTCCTGTGTAAGGCAGGGTCGAACTCTCCGAATGTTGTAGAGCATGAACCTACAGGATTGGGTCACCGCCTTGATGTTAGCGGAGAAAGACAGGGTGTTGTCCAGGGTCATACCAAGGCTCTTTGCACTCTGGGAGTAGGACACAACGGAGTTGTCAACCGTGATGGCGAGATCATGGAATGGGCAGTCCTTCCCCGGGAGGAAGAACAGCTCCGTCTTGCCGAGGTTCAGCTTGAGGAGGTGATCCATCATCCACACTGATATGTCTGCCAGACATGCAGAGATGCAATTCACCACCTGGTTATCAGAAGGGGGAAAGGAGAAGATTAGTTGTGTCGTCTGCGTAGCAATGATAGGAGAGGCCATGTGAGGATATGACAGAGCCAAGTGACTTGGTGTATAGCAAGAATAGGAGAGGGCCTAGAACTGAGCACTTGGGGACACCAGTGGTGAGAGCACGTGGTGTGGAGACAGATTCTCGCCACGCCACTTGGTAGTAGCGACCTGTCAGGTAGGACGCAATCCAAGAGTGAGCCGCGCCGGAGATGCCCAACTCGGAGAGGATGGAGAGGAGGATCTGATGGTTCACAGTATCAAAGGCAGCAGACATGTCTAGAAGGACAAGAGCAGAGGAGAGAGAGTTAGCTTTAGCAGTGCGGACAGCCTCCGTGACACAGAGAAGAGCAGTCTCAGTTGAATGACCAGTCTTGAAACCTGACTGGTTTGGATCAAGAAGGTCATTCTGAGAGAGATAGCAAGAGAGTTGGCTAAAAACAGCACGCTCAATAGTTTTGGAGAGAAAAGAAAGAAGGGATACTGGTCTGTAGTTGTTGACATCGGTGGGATCGAGTGTAGGTTTTTTGAGAAGGGGTGCAACTCTCGCTCTCTTGAAGACGGAAGGGACATAGCCAGTGGTCAAGGATGAGTTGATGAGCGAGGTGAGGTAAGGGAGAAGGTCTCCAGAAATGGTCTGGAGAAGAGAGGAGGGGATCGGGTCAAGCGGGCAGGTTGTTGGGCGGCCGGCCATCACAAGTCGCAAGATTTCATCTGGAGAGAGAGGGGAGAAAGAAGTCAAAGCATAGGGTAGGGCAGTGTGAGCAGGACCAGCAGTGTCATTTGACTTAACAAACGAGGATCGGATGTCGTCAACCTTCTTTTCAAAATGGTTGACGAAGTCATCCACAGAGAGGTGGGAGGGGGGGGAGGATTCAGCAGGGAGGAGAAGGTGGCAAAGAGATTCCTAGGGTTAGAGGCAGATGCTTGGAATTTCGAGTGGTAGAAAGTGGCTTTAGCAGCAGAAACAGAGGAAAAACATGTAGAGAGGAGGGAGTGAAAAGATGCCAGGTCCGCAGGGACGATAAGGATGTTAAGCTTGAATGGGCTAGTGACTGTGACAGCATGGAATTCAAATGAGGAGATAGACAGATGGGTCAGGGGAAAAAGAGAGAATGTCCACTTGGGAGAGATGAGGATTCCTGTGCCACCACCCCGCTGACCAGATGCTCTCGGGGTGTGCGAGAACACATGGTCAGACGAGGAGAGAGCAAATCAAATCAAATCAAATGTTATTGGCCACATGCGCCGAATACAACAGTTGCAGACATTACAGTGAAATGCTTACTTACAGCCCTTAACCAACAGTGCATTTATTTTAAATAAAAAAGTAAAATAAAACAACAACAAAAAAGTGTTGAGAAAAAAGAGCAGAAGTAAAATAAAATAACAGTAGGGAGGCTATATATACAGGGGGGTACCGGTGCAGAGTCAATGTGCGAGGGCACCGGCTAGTTGAGGTAGTTGAAGTAATATGTACATGTGGGTAGAGTTAAAGTGACTATGCATAAATAATTAACAGAGTAGCAGCAGCGTAAAAAGATGGGGTGGGGGGGCACTGCAAATAGTCTGGGTAGCCATGATTAGCTGTTCAGGAGTCTTCTGGCTTGGGGGTAGAAGCTGTTGAGAAGTCTTTTGGACCTAGACTTGCCACTCCGGTACCGCTTGCCGTGCGGTAGCAGAGAGAACAGTGTATGACTAGGGTGGCTGGAGTCTTTGACAATTTTGAGGGCCTTCCTCTGACACCGCCTGGTATAGAGGTCCTGGATGGCAGGAAGCTTGTCCCCAGTGATGTACTGGACCGTACGCACTACCCTCTGTAGTGCCTTGCGGTCGGAGGCCAAGCAGTTGCCATACCCAGGCGGTGATGCAACCAGTCAGGATGCTCTCGATGGTGCAGCTGTAGAATTTTTTGAGGATCTGAGGACCGATGCCGAATCTTTTCAGTCTCCTGAGGGGGAATAGGCTTTGTCGTGCCTTCTTCACGACTGTCTTGATGTGTTTGGACCATGATAGTTCGTTGGTGATGTGGACACCAAGGAACTTGAAGCTCTCAACCTGTTCCACTACAGCCCCGTCGATGAGAATGGGGGCGTGCTCAATCCTCTTTTTTTCCTGTAGTCCACAATCATCTCCTTTGTCTTGGTCACGTTGAGGGAGAGGTTGTTATCCTGGCACCACACAGCCAGGTCTCTGACCTCCTCCCTATAGGCTCTCTCATCGTTGTCGGTGATCAGGCCTACCACTGTTGTGTCGTCGGCAAACTTAATGATGGTGTTGGAGTCGTGCCTGGCCATGCAGTCATGGGTGAACGGGGAGTACAGGAGGGGACTGAGCACGCACCCCTGAGGGGCCCCCGTGTTGAGGATCAGTGTGGCATATGTGTTGTTACCTACCCTTACCACCTGGGGGCGGCCCGTCAGGAAGTCCAGGATCCAGTTGCAGAGGGAGGTGTTTAGTCCCAGGATCCTTAGCTTAGTGATGAGCTTTGACGGCACTATGGTGTTGAATGCTGAGCTGTAGTCAATGAATAGCATTCTCACGTAGGTGTTCCTCTTGTCCAGGTGGGAAAGGGTAGTGTTGAGTGCAATAGAGATTGCATCATCTGTGGATCTGTTGGAGCGGTATGCAAATTGGAGTGGGTCTAGGGTTTCTGGGATAATGGTGTTGATGTGAGCCATGACCAGCCTTTCAAAGCACTTCATCAGCCTTTCAAAGCACTTCATGGCTACAGACGTCAGTGCTACGGGTCGGTAGTCATTTAGGCAGGTTATCTTAGTTTCCTTGGGCACGGGGACTATGATGGTCTGCTTGAAACATGTTGGTATTACAGACTCAGTCAGGGACATGTTGAAAATGTCAGTGAAGACACTTGCCAGTTGGTCAGCACATGCTCGGAGTACACGTCCTGGTAATCCGTCTGGCCCTGCGGCCTTGTGAATGTTGACCTGCTTAAAAGTCTTACTCACATCGGCTACGGAGAGCGTGATCACATAGTCATCCGGAACAGCTGGTGCTCTCATACATGCTTCAGTGTTGCTTGCCTCGAAGCGAGCATAGAAGTGGTTTAGCTCGTCTGGTAGGCTTGTGTCACTGGGAAGCTCGTGGCTGTGCTTCCCCTTGTAGTCTGTAATATTTTTCAAGCCCTGCCACATCCGACGAGCGTCAGAGCCGGTGTAGTACGATTCAATCTTAGTCCTGTATTGACTCTTTGCCTGTTTGATGGTTCGTCGGAGGGCATAGCGGGATTTCTTATAAGCGTCCGGGTTAGAGTCCCGCTCCTTGAAAGCGGCAGCTCTACCCTTTAGCTCAGTGCGGATGTTTCCTGTAATCCATGGCTTCTGGTTGGGGTATGTACGTATGGTCACTGTGGGGACGACATCATCGATGCACTTATTGATGAAGCCAGTGACTGATGTGGTGTACTCCTCAATGCTATCTGAAGAATCCCGGAACATGTTCCAGTCTGTGCTAGCAAAACAGTCCTGTAGCTTAGCATCTGCGTCATCTGACCACTTTTTTATTAACCGAGTCACTGGTGCATCCTGCTTTAGTTTTTGCTTATAAGCAGGAATCAGGAGGATAGAGTTATGGTCAGATTTGCCAAATGGAGGGCGAGGGAGAGCTTTGTATGCGTCTCTGTGTGTGGAGTAAAGGTGGTCTAGAGGTTTTTTTCCTCTGGTTGCACATTTAACATGCTGGTAGAAATTAGGTAGAACGGATTTAAGTTTCCCTGCATTAAAGTCCCGGCCACTAGGAGTGCTGCCTCTGGATGAGCGTTTTCCTGTTTGCTTATGGCCTTACACAAACAACTCATTGAGTGCAGTCTTAGTGCCAGCATCGGTTTGTGGTGGTAAATAGACAGCTACGAAAAATATAGATGAAAACTCTCTTGGTAAATAGTGTGGTCTACAGCTTAGCATGAGATACTCTACCTCAGGCGAGCAAAACCTCGAAACTTCCTTAGTATTTGATTTTGTGCACCAGCTGTTGTTTACAAATATACACAGACCGCCACCCCTTGTCTTACCGGAGTCAGCCGTCCAATACGAGGTGAGTAATCGCTGTCTTGATATCCAGAAGCTCTTTTTGGTTATAAGAGACGATGGCAGAAACATTATGTACAAAATAAATTACAAATAACGCAGAAAAACAAACATAATAATACAATTGGTTAGAGGGCTGTAAAACGGCAGCCATCTTCTCCGGCGCCATTCTATAGCAGTAGGAGTAGCGGTGTTTCAGTGGTAATCCATGTTTCCGTCAGCGCCTAGAAGTCGAGGGACTGGAGGGTAGCATAGGCTGAGATGAACTCTGCCTTGTTAGCCGCAGAACGGCAGTTCCAGAGGCTGCCGGAGACCTGGAACTCCACGTGGGTCGTGCGCGCAGAGACCACCAGGTTAGAGTGACAGCAGCCATGCGGTGTGAGGCGTTTGTATAGCCTGTGTGGAGAGGAGGGAACAGGGATAGACAGACGCATAGTTAACAGGCTACAGAAAATGGCTACAATAATGCAAAGGAGATCGGAATGAAATGAACTAAACATCTGGGAAAGCGAGAGAGCGGGGCCTCCCTCACTTACGTTTCACTGAAACACTCAAATATAACTCTCCCAACTTCCACCTCAGAAACTATAATTGTTGTAAACTACAGCGGTTCAATGTTTTCTAGGAATAGACTAACTTAGTTTATTGAGCTAGCTAACATGGTACAGTATTCTTCCGTGAAAACCGTCCAGGGCACCGACTCCTATGACGCCACAGCCAACTAGCATGCCAGCCTCCCAACAACACAGTTTAGCACCAATACTCGGCCACAACAAACCACCAGTGTGTCAACACGCCAAGCAGATCATTCGTGTCCGTGTCTAACGTTGTGGGTTAGTCCCGACAGCTTGAGCGAGTCCGTCATCAACTTATTCAGCCAGTTAGTTAGCTAGAATAGTTAGCATACTAGCTAGCCATTGCTTTCTGCCAACGAAAAAACCCCTCCTCCCACGGCACGAACACACAGAGAGAGCCAAGCTAACGTTAACTAGTCACCCATGTCCCGAATTTCCTTGAACGACTCTGGTTACCAGTATGTAAAAACATAACAAAAATAATAATAATACAGTGAGGGGGGGAAAAGTATTTGATCCCCTGCTGATTTTGTATGTTTGCCCACTGACAAAGACATGATCAGTCTATAATTTTAATGGTAGGTTTATTTGAACAGTGAGAGACAGAATAACAACAAAATAATCCAGAAAAACGCATGTCAAAAATGTTATAAATTGATTTTCATTTTAATGAGGGAAATAAGTATTTGACCCCTCTGCAAAACATGACTTAGTACTTGGTGGCAAAACCCTTGTTGGCAATCACAGAGGTCAGACGTTTCTTGTAGTTGGCCACCAGGTTTGCACACATCTCAGGAGGGATTTTGTCCCACTCCTCTTTGCAGATCGTCTCCAAGTCATTAAGGTTTTGAGGCTGATGTTTGGCAACTCGAAACTTCAGCTCCCTCCACAGATTTTCTATGGGATTAAGGTCTGGAGACTGGCTAGGCCACTCCAGGACCTTAATGTGCTTCTTCTTGAGCCACTCCTTTGTTGCCTTGGCCGTGTGTTTTGGGTCATTGTCATGCTGGAATACCCATCCATGACCCATTTTCAATGCCCTGGCTGAGGAAAGGAGGTTCTCACCCAAGATTTGACGGTACATGGCCCAGTCCATCATCCCGTTGATGCGGTGTAGTTGTCCTGTCCCCTTAACAGAAAAACACCCCCAAAGCATAATGTTTCCACCTCCATGTTTGACGGTGGAGATGGTGTTCTTGGGGTCATGGGCAGCATTCCTCCTCCTCCAAACACGGTGAGTTGAGTTGATGCCAAAGAGCTCCATTTTGGTCTCATCTGACCACAACACTTTCACCCAGTTCTCCTCTGAATCATTCAGATATTCATTGGCGAACTTCAGACGGGCATGTATATGTGCTTTCTTGAGCAGGGGGACCTTGCGGGGGCTGCAGGATTTCAGTCCTTCACGGCATAGTGTGTTACCAATTGTTTTCTTGGTGACGATGGTCCCAGCTGTCTTGAGATCATTGACAAGAGCCTCCCGTGTAGTTCTGGGCTGATTCCTCACCGTTCTCATGATCATTGCAACTCCACGAGGTGAGATCTTGCATGGAGCCCCAGGCCGAGGGAGATTGACAGTTATTTTGTGTTTCTTCCATTTGCGAATAATCGCACCAACTGTTGTCACCTTCTCACCAAGCTGCTTGGCGATGGTATTGTAGCCCATTCCAGCCTTGTGTAGGTCTACAATCTTGTCCCTGACATCCTTGGAGAGCTCTTTGGTCTTGGCCATGGTGGAGAGTTTGGAATCTGATTGCTTCTGTGGACAGGTGTCTTTTATACAGGTAACAGCTGAGATTAGTAGCACTCCCTTTTAAGAGTGTGCTCCTAATCTCAGCTCGTTACCTGTATAAAAGACACCTGGGAGCCAGAAATCTTTCTGATTGAGAGGGGGTCAAATACTTATTTCCTAATTAAAATGCAAATACATTTATAACATTTTTGACATGCGTTTTTCTGGATTTTTATGTTGTTATTCTGTCTCTCACTGTTCAAATAAACCTACTATTAAAATTATAGACTGATCATGTCTTTGTCAGTGGGCAAACGTACAAAATCAGCAGGGGATCAAATACTTTTTTCCCTCACGTGCATAGAGAAATCTTTAATATCTCTCCATCATTTAGCTCTCTCGCTCCCTCCATTTGCACTCTTTCTCTCCTTTTATCCCTTTCTCTTTCTGACTCTCTCTGGTCGTCTCTATCTATATTCCATATTCATAAAGCGTCTCAGAGGCAGGTTGACGTTTATTGTAATGAATCTTGCCCCGGAGTTAGAACTGAGCGATTTCCGCCAGATGGGCCGGCTGCAAAGTCAAAATTGGCTATCGTAAAATATTCATGAAAACATAAATGTTATTTTTGGTCTTAATTTAAGGTTAGGGTTAGGCATTACGGTTAGCAGTGTGGTAAAGGTTAGGGTCAGATTTGATTACTGTGTGGCTGTGCCAGCTAATGACCATTCTGCAGAGCTGCATCCAGTACATGAGTCATCCTAATAAATGCCAACCTGCACAGGGTCAGGTCGCTCCTGTCCACATATTTTTCATTATGATTTAAAAGGCAAAACCTATATCCTAGATCAGCACTCCTTCTCTACTCTGAGGAACTTTATGAATACGGCCATCTCTCTCTCTCCAACTGTATCACCCTTCCCCCTTTTCTCTTTCCTCCCTGACCCTCTGTTTATCCCTCCATTATTTAACTGTTGCCTCTCTAGTGCTCCAGTGTCAGGGCTCTGACTCTGGGCTGGACTGGGTTCATGCCCAGGATCAAGGCTCTGCCTGGGCCGTGAGAGTTCTGTTTAAGTCCCTGCCTGGTTTGGGGATCAGGACTGGCTCTGGAGAGCTCACGGAGCTCGGTGGTCCCTGTTCTCCTGACCTGAAGTCTTGGGAAGGATTCTGTAGAGTTTCATTTAGTTAAAGCAGAGATAGGAGACTCATACAGAGCAGTAGTTCTCCTCAGTCTCTTTGTATCGGCTGTATTACAGAGAGAAACATTGTCAATGTACTCAGCAGGTGGTTATGCAGAGGTGAATAATACTATGTTGAGCAGTTGGCTCTTTGGGTTTAAGCCATTAGCTGTGACTGGAAGGTGTATCTGCTGTATCTTTAAACCCCGCCAGCTTCACAGACAGTGACACATTTTTTTTCTTCTTCTCTGAGGTGGCAGTACAGTTTGTTTGAGCACATTTAACAACTGGAGCTAGGTCATTGTGTAGGTGAGTGCTGTTGTGGACATATCACACAGATACTGCAGTTGAAACTACACTGAGTGTACAAAACATTAAGAACCATGATGTAGACTGACCAGGTGAATCCAGGTGAAAGCTATGATCCCTTATGTCACTTGTTAAATCCACTTCAATCAGTGTAGGTGAAGGAGAGGACACCAGTTAAAGAAGGATTTTTAAGCCTTAAGACAATTGAGACATGGATTGTGTATGTGTGCCATTCAGTGAATGGGCAAGACAAAATATGTAAGTGCCTTTGAACAGGGTATGGTAGTAGGTGCCAGGCACACTGGTTTGTGTCAAGAACTGCAACGCTGCTGGGTTTTTCACGCTCAACAGTTTCCCGTGTGTATCAAGAATGGTCCACCACCCAAAGGACATCCAGTCAACTTGACACAACTGTGGGAAGCATTGGAGTCAACATGGGCCAGCATCCCTGTGGAACCCTTTTGACAGCTTGTAGAGTCTATGCCCCGACGAATTGAGCCTGTACTGAGGGCAAACTCAATATTAGGAAGGTGTTCGTAATGTTTGGTATACTCGGTGTATACTGCCACTTTAAGAGCAGAATGTTGATTAATGTCCAACATTCATTTACATTTGGGGAGAGTTTTGTTGTGGTTATGTCAGCTTGTTTCAGCTCCTTTTTTCTATTAGTTTAGGAACAGGCAGACTCTCCCAGCAGGGTTACGTTTTGGTTTGGTTACATAAGAGCGAGATACAGTCCTTTCAGAATTAATTCACTGCATCAATCTTTTTTTATTAATTTCTTATATAATCTGCGTACTCTGTTATTAAGAGGAACATGCAAAAATCTGTTATTGACGAGAGGGAGAGAGCAAGAGAGAGGCAGTGGCTGCTGCAGCTGTCTGGCACATTTTCAATAGGAAAGACACCATTTCAATGATTGTCGTTCGTATAATACATTTTCCTTTATGAAATAGGATATCAAACTACTCATGTGACAGCGAATGAAAAGATGGAGAGGGGGGGGGGGGGGGGGTTGGTGGGTGGACTCTTCTAGTCTATCTCAACTGTGGTTGCTGGGGCAATGGCTTGACACCGTTTTTGCAGCGAGTTTAAAACTGGTTTATGATGTCAAGGACTTGTTATTAAAAAGAATGCTAGATGCATAATGTGTCCAGATTTTACCTGATTTCAGGCACTTTATGATGTCTCCAATTTCCACATGCTTTATTAGTCAGGAGATTGCCATTTCCACAGAACAGTGTGTGTGTGTGCAAGCGAAAGTGCAATATTCTAATGAGAGAAGTTGGAGAAAGCTAAGTCATTGTGTATGCATCTGAGGCTTTCCAACTCTCTGTCTCTGTCTCTCTGTCTCTCTGTCTCTCTGTCTCTCTGTCTCTCTGTCTCTCTGTCTGTGTGTTCTGTGAGTCAATCTCATTGTCTCACCAAAACCGTCAATCAATCACTTTATGGGAAAGACTCAGAGTTGGTCCAAATGTGGAGAATATGTATTAGACTGTCAGATGCTCCAGTCAGGCTCATCAACTCTGTGTTACCCACAGATACAAGCAATCAACATTTCAACCCATCAATCTCAATGTGCTGCACACACACACATGCTGTTCTCCTCACATTGTGATTGTTCTCATCCGTCATTGTCTGAGAGTTTAAAACATGGTCATGTTACTTCAGTTATTCTCCAGATTGCTCTTTGGATAATTATATCTTGTCACGCTCTGGCTCCGGGACTTTGTATGTTGAGCCAGGGTGTGTTCGTTTCGTTGTGTTCTGTTTGGTTGGGTTGTCTATGTGGTTGTTTCCTTGTTTGGTCGTGTGACTCCCAATCAGTGGTAACGAGTGTCAGCTGTCGGCTCGTTATCTCTGATAGCTGTCGGCTCGTTATCTCTGATTGGGAGCCATATTTAAACTGTGTGTTTTCACCTTGTGTTTGTGGGTTTTTGTTCCTGTACAGTCATTGTCACTGTGGACTTCACGTATCGTCATTGTTTGTTGTTCAGTACTTTAATTAAATAAAGTCATGTTCGCTCAACGCGCTGCGCTTTGGTCTCATTCGTCAGACGATCGTGACAGAAAAACCCACCATCAAAGGACCAAGCAGCGTGTCCAGGAGCCAAGGGTCTGGACATGGGAGGAGATTTTGGATGGTAAAGGGTCTTGGACTTGGGAGGAGATCCTGGATGGGATGGATCGCCGGCCATGGAGTAAAACAGTGGAGAGGCGACTGAGAGAGGAGCAACGGCGTCAGCAGGGCCATCGTCGGAAGGACGAGAGGCAACCCCAAAAAGTTTTTGGGGGGGGGCACATGGCTTGGGCGGCTGGGCAGCAGGAGGCTGCCACAGGGAGACGTGGAGAGAAGGCTACCGGATTACGGGAGCCATTGGCGAGTAGAGGGAGGGAAGTAGTTGAGGCACGGCGTGAGAGACTGAGGTGTGTTACCAGTCCGGTCCGGCCCGTTCCTGATCCCCGGTTAAGGCCAGTGGTGTGTGTTCCCAGTACGGACCGGCCTGTTCCTGCTCCACGTACCAGGTCTACGGTGTGCGTCACCAGCCCAGCCCGGCCTGTTCCTACCTCTCGCACCAAACCTACGGTGTGCGTCGCCAGCCCTGTCCGGCCGGTTCCTGCTCCTCGCACTAAGCCTACGGTGTGCGTCGCCAGCCCTGCCCGGCCGGTTCCTGCTCCTCGCACTAAGCCTACGGTGCGCGTCGCCAGCCCAGCCCGGCCTGTTCCTGCTCCACGCACAAAACCTACGGTGTGCGTCGCCAGCCCAGCCCGGCCTGTTCCTGCTCCACGCACAAAACCTACGGGGTGCGTCGCCAGCCCAGCCCGGCCTATTCCTGCTCCACGCACAAAACCTACGGTGTGCGTCGTCAGCCCAGCCCGGCCTGTTCCTGCTCTACGCACAAAGCCTACGGGGTGCGTCGCCAGCCCAGCCCGGCCTGTTCCTGCTCCACGCACAAAACCTACGGTGTGCGTCGCCAGCCCAGCCAGGCCTGTTCATGCTCTACGCACAAAGCCTACGGGGTGCGTCGCCAGCCCAGCCCGGCCTGTTCCTGCTCTACGCACAAAGCCTACGGGGTGCGTCGCCAGCCCAGCCCGGCCTGTTCCTGCTCCACGCACAAAACCTACGGTGTGTGTCGCCAGCCCAGCCCGGCCTGTTCCTGCTCCACGCACAAAACCTACGGTGTGCGTCACCAGCCCAGCCCGGCCTGTTCCTGCTCTACGCACAGAGCCTACGGTGTGCGTCGTCAGCCTGGTCCAGCCTGTTCCTGCTACTCGCACCAAGCCAAGGATGCGAGTCGTCAGCCTGGTCCAGCCCGTTCCTGCTACTCGCACCAAGCCAAGGGTGCGAGTCGTCAGCCTGGTTCAGCTCGTCCCTGCTACTCGCACCAAGCCAAGGGTGCGAGCCGTCAGCCTGATCCAGCCCACTCCTGCTACTTGCACCAAGCCAGGGATGCGAGTCGTCAGCCTGGTGAGGCCCGTTCCGGCTCCACGCATCAAGCCTAGGGTGCGTATCGTCAGCCAGGTCCGGTCCGTTCCTGCCTCACGCGCCAAGCCAGGGGTGCGCGTCGTCAGTCCAGATCCTACCAGCTGGGTCAGATCGGACCGGGGGCGCTACGGGGGGATTGAAGAAGGGTGGTGGTCAAGCCCGGAGCCGGAGCCGCCTCCGAGGAGTAATGCCCACCCAGCCCTCCCCTGTTTGGGGTTTTTGAGGCGCGGTCGCAGTCCGCGCCTTTAGGGGGGGGTACTGTCACGCTCTGGCTCCGGGACTTTGTATGTTGAGCCAGGGTGTGTTCGTTTCGTTGTGTTCTGTTTGGTTGGGTTGTCTATGTGGTTGTTTCCTTGTTTGGTCGTGTGACTCCCAATCAGTGGTAACGAGTGTCAGCTGTCGGCTCGTTATCTCTGATTGGGAGCCATATTTAAACTGTGTGTTTTCACCTTGTGTTTGTGGGTTTTTGTTCCTGTACAGTCATTGTCACTGTGGACTTCACGTATCGTCATTGTTTGTTGTTCAGTACTTTAATTAAATAAAGTCATGTTCGCTCAACGCGCTGCGCTTTGGTCTCATTCGTCAGACGATCGTGACATATCTCTTTTGCCTTTATTGCTGATAATAATATATGTGAGGAGGAGAGGTACACGGTATCACTGTTGTTGACTCCCCAAAGACACTGGTGGGGAAATGGAATCATACAGTATCTCATCAACAGCAATAAATCCCATGACAACTCATTACAATAGATAGAAACTATAGCGTCTTGCTGAATTTGACCAATTTCGCTTGGTCTAACTGGTATTTGTTCAGTGAAAACCAGAGTTGAAATAGCATGTTTTATTTGAAATACTTTAGAAGCACTTTATTTAGTTTGTCTGGTATAATGGAACCAATGAAACAGTCCATAGGGTAAGCTAAATCAAGCGCACCTAAAATATTTCAAAGTAAACACATTTCAAATTTTCAACCCAGGTCTGCACTCAGTGCACCGAATACTATTAACATTAGCATTTACCGTTAATGTCTTCAACTTGAGCGAGAGGAGTTGACAACCAATATTCCCATGACAACCATAATGGGTCAAGGAAATGTCCCCATTGGAGGCCAACCAACAGCAGTGGGTGCTTACATCCTCTAAAAAGGCACTGAGGGAAAGGAGGGATGAGGGCATGAAAAGACTCAAAAGGGAGAGGTGGAGAGCAGATTGTAAAGAGCAGCATCCTGTTTCTCTTCTCCTCCTTCTCTCCTCCTTCCAAGCCTAATAACAACCTCTTCTGATGGGCTCTGTGTTTATTACCAATGTGTTGTTGAGTGTCAGAAAGAACATCTCACCCTCCCTTCTCTCTCTCCCTCCCTCCCTCCCCCTTTCTGTGTATAATTACCTCACTTCTTCTCCTGGGTAGAAGTAATCTCTCTCAATCCTACTGCTCTCACTCAAACGTACAAACGCTATTCAGATCCTGTTGGGAAAAAATAGGCAGCATCCAACTGCATAAGTCTGTCTGTCTTCCCTCCCTGAGTGACATCTCCTGGCATTATACAGTTACGTCCCAAATGGCACCCTGTTCCCTATTTAGTGCATTACCTTTCTCCAGGGTCCATAAGGACACAGCTTTGATTGATGTTCTTCAGGATGAGACAAATGTTCTGTTTCAGTGGAATTGATGGAAGCTCATGTGGATCTGAGATCAAAGCGGGGGTTCTGGGCCTGTATCCGTAAAGCGTGTCAGAGAAGGAGTGCTGATCAGGCATCAGATCCCCTCCTGTCCTTGTAATCGTATTCATTATGACCTAAAAGGCTAAACTGATCCTAGAACAGCACTCCTAGTCTGAGACGACCCTGGTGGTGTTTCTTGTTATGCATCCCTATAGGCGTTTGATAGTCTTCAGAGACCAATGTGGCCAGTTGTTAGTGGCTGTCCACAAGAAAAGTTCCAATCACCAAGTCACATTAATTAGGCTATTGATAGCTCTGTCCTTGTTCTAATTCAGGTCCTGCTGGGAATGTCAGGAGCTTGACCTCTCTTGTCCTGACACTGTCACCGTATGTCTCCTCAACTGTTGTCATGTCCAGTGTCCTAAGTCATTTGTTATTGTCTCTCCTTGGTTGTAGGTGTAAATGAAAGAAGTGTGTCTTGTGTATATACTTGTTTGAGTGCATGAATGTCTTTCTATTGATAGCTGCTATTGTATTTATGTACACGTGTGTGTGTGTGTGTGTGTGTGTGTGTGTGTGCGCGCGTTTGTCTGTCGATGCCTGCATGTGTGTGCATCACCATCTCTGATTAGAATGCAGGGCCGCTGTTGACCTCAGTGGCTGTCATCTCCTCCCCTGATCCCAACCTGTCTGAGCTTGTGTGTAATAGTTCAGTCTATATTGACATGTGTGGCACTTCTAATGTGGTCTGTCTGTGGTGGCCTGGTGACAGGTCATACATTTAAATTTTTTGTCATTTAGCAGACGCTCTTATCCACAGCGACTTACAGTTAGTGCATTCATCTTAAAATAGCTAGGTGAGACAATCACAATCGGAGTAAGTACATTTTTCCACAATAAATAAGTTATAAGCAAGTTCCCCATAGGATAACTATTACCCTCCCTCTCCCTCTCCCCGTTGGGGATAGATTACCTGGATCGTGTTCATTAGGGCACACAATGGAAAACGTTTTGCAGTGGGAAAACGAAAATGATTTTCTTATTGGACAAGTCTAGGTAGTCTCTCTCTGTTTCAATCCATTTGGTGCCGAAGGAACGCAACCCTGATGGCTGACATCAATGCCGTAATCCTCCTGGCATGGGCTCCTCCATCTTGGACAAGGAGACTAGAAGTTATAAGTCTAGCTGCTTGTCATTAGACTGCCCCACCTAAAGCTCAATCTATGGCCCTGAGTTGTTCCTGACCACGTGGACCTGACCAAGAACAACTCTGGGCCCTTATAGGTAATGCCTCTGACCTGTTGGCCCTAACACACCCAGAAGAAAAAACACTTACCACAGGGAAATGTTTTTTTATCCGAACAGTTGCAGGCACTATGGCACTCTAGTGTCAGCTAACTAATACTACTTTAGCGGTCACAAAAATGTTTTAGTGCCTGCAACTGTACATGTCAGTGGAGCTTTTATACATTGGACATTTCTGATATACTAGAACCGGCGCGTCTGGCACCGACGATCATACCATGCTGAAAGTCGCTTAGGTCACTAGTTTTGCCCATTCTAACGTTCAATCGAATAGTAACTGAATGTCTGTCTGCTTGCTTTATAAAGCAAGCCACGGCCATCTATCTATCTATCTATCTAGTTGTAGTCGGAGGTTTACATACACTTAGGTTGCAGTCATTAAAACTCTCCTTTCAACCACTCCACAAATTTCTTGTTAACAAACTATAGTTTTGGAAAGTCGGTTAGGACATCTGCTTTGTGCATGACACAAGAAATTTATCCAACAATTGTTAACAGACAGATTATTTCACTTATAATTCACTGTATCACAATTCCAGTGGGTCAGAAGTTTACATACACTAAGTTGACTGTGCCTTTAAACAGCTTGGAAAATTCCAGAAAATGATGTCATGGCTTTAGAAGCTTCTGATAGGCTAATTGACATCATTTGAGTCAATTGGAGGTGTACCTGTGGATGTATTTCAAACTCAGTGCCTCTTTGCTTGACATAATGGGAAAATCAAATGAAATCAGCCAAGACCTCAGAAAAAAATTGTAGACCTCCACAAGTCTGGTTCATCCTTGGGAGCAATTTCCAAATGCCTGAAGGTACCACGTTCATCTGTACAAACAATAGTACGCAAGTATAAACACCATGGGACCACGCAGCCGTCATACCGCTCAGGAAGGAGACGCTTTCTGTCTCCTAGAGATGAACGTACTTTGGTGCGCAAATCAATCCCAGAACAACAGCAAAGGACCTTGTGAAGATCCTGGAGGATACAGGTACAAAATTATCTATATCCACAGTAAAATGAGTCCTATATCAACATAACCTGAAAGGCCGCTCAGCAAGGAAGAAGCCACTGCTCCAAAACCGCCATTAAAAAAGCCAGACTACAGTTTGCAACTGCACATGGGGACAAAGATTGTACTTTTTGGAGAAATGTCCTCTGGTCTGATGAAACAAAAATGGAACTATTTGGCCATAATGACCATCGTTATGTTTGGAGGAAAAAGGGGAAGGCTTGCAAGCCAAAGAACACTATTCCTACCGTGAAGCACGGGGGTGGCAGCATCATGCTGTGGGGGTGCTTTGCTGCAGGAGGGACTGGTGCACTTCACAAAATAGATGGCATCATGAGGAAGGAAAATTATGTGGATATATTGAAGCAACATCTCAAGACATCAGTCTTCCAAATGGACAATGACCCCAAGCATACTTCCAAAGTTGTGGCAAAATGGCTTAAGGACAACAAAATCAAGGTATTGGAGTGGCCATCACAAAGCCCTGACCTCAATCCTATAGAAAATGTGTGGGCAGAACTGAAAAAGTGTGTGCGAGCTAGGAGGCCTACAAACCTGACTGTTACACCAGCTCTGTCAGGAGGAATGTGCCAAAATACACACAACTTATTGTGGAAGGCTACCCGAAACGTTTGACCCAAGTTAAACAATTTAATTGCTACCAAATACTAATTGAGTGTATGTAAACTTCCGACCCACTGGGAATGTGATGATAGAAATAAAAGCTGAAATAAATCATTCTCTCTACTATTATTCTGACATTTCACATTCTTAAAATAAAGGGCATTTTTACTACAATTAAATGTCAGGAATTGTGAAAACCTGAGTTTAATGTATTTGGCTAAGGTGTATGTAAACTTCCGACTTCAACTGTGTGTGTGTGTGTGTGTGTGTGTGTGTGTGTGTGTTTGTATAGATAGATAGATAGATAGATAGATAGATAGATAGATAGATAGAGAGTACCAGTCAAAAGTTTGGACACACCTACTCATTCAAGGGTTTTTCTTTATTTTTACAATTTTCTGTGGTCCTCTGTAGCTCAATTGATAGAGCATGGCGCTTGTAACACCAGGGTAGTGGGTTCGATCCCCGGGACCACCCATACGTAAAAATGTATGCTTTGGATAAAAGCGTCTGCTAAATGGCATATTATCATTATTATATTATTCTACATTGTAGAATAATAGTGAAGATATCACAACTATGAAATAAAACATATGGAATCATGTAGTAACTAAAAAAGTGTTAAACAAATCCAAATATATTTTATATTTGAGATTCTTCAATGTAGCCACCCTTTGCCTTGATGACAGCTTTGCACACTCTTGGCATTCTCTCAACCATTTTCATGAGGTAGTCACCTGGAATGCATTTCAATGAACAGGTGTGCCTTGTTAAAAGTTAATTTGTGGAATTTATTTCCTTCTTAATACGTTTGAGCCAATCAGTTGTGTTGTGACAAGGTAAGGGTGGTATACAGAAGATAGCCCTATTTGGTAAAAGACCAAGTCCATAATATGGCAAGAACAGCTCAAATAAGGAAAGAGGAACGACAGTCCATCATTACTTTAGGACAGGAAGGTCAGTCAATCCTGAAAATGTAAAGAACTTTGAAAGTTTCTTCAAGTGCAGTCGCAAAAACCATCAAGCGCTATGATGAAACTGGCTCTCATGAGGACCACCACAGGACTGGAAGACCCAGAGTTACCTCTGCTCCAGAGGATAAGTTCATTAGAGTTACCAGCCTCAGAAATTTCAGCCCAAATAAATGCTTCAGAGTTCAAGTCACCGACACATCTCAACATCAACTGTTCAGAGGAGACTGTGTAAAGCAGGCCTTCATGGTCGAATTGCTGCAAAGAAACCACTACTAAAGGACACCAATAATAATAAGAAGAGACTTGCTTGGTCCAAGAAACACAAGCAATGGACATTAAATGTGGAAATCTGTCCTTTGGTCCAAATTTGAGATTTTTGGTTCCAACCGCCGTATCTTTGTGAGACGCAGAGTAGGTGAACGGATGATCTCCGCATGTGTGGTTCCCACCGTGAAGCATGGAGGAGGAGGTGTGATGGTGTGGGGGTGCTTTGCTAGTGACACTGTCTGTGATTTATTTAGAATTCAATGCACACTTAACCAGCATGGCTACCCCAGCATTCTGCAGCAATACACCATCCCATCTGGTTTGCGCTTAGTGGGACTATCATTTGTTTTTCAACAGGATAATGACCCAACACACCTCCAGCCTGTGTAAGGCCTATTTGACCAAGAAGGAGAGTGATGGAGTGCTGCATCAGATGACCTGGCCTCCACAATCACCCGACCTCAACCCAATTGAGATGGTTTGGGATGAGTTGGACCGCAGAGTGAAGGAAAAGCAGCCAAAAAGTGCTCAGCATATGTGGGAACTCCTTCAAGACTGTTGGAAAAGCATTCCAGGTGAAGCTGGTTGAGAGAATGCCAAGTGTGCAAAGCTGTCATCAAGGCAAAGGGTGGCTACCTTGAAATAATCTAAAATATATTTTGATTTGTTTAACACTTTTTTGGTTACTACATGATTCCATATGTGTTATTTCATAGTTTTGATGTCTTCACTATTATTCTACAATGTAGAAAATATTAAAAATAAAGAAAAACCCTTGCATGAGTAGGTGTCCAAACTTTTGACTGGTACTGTATGTACAGTGAGGTGAAAAAAGTATTTGATCCCCTGCTGATTTTGTACGTTTGCCCACTGACAAAGAAATGATCAATCTATAATTTTAATGGTAGGTTTCTTTGAACAGTGAGAGAGAGAATAACAACAAAAAAATACAGAAACGCATGTCAAAAATGTTATAAATTGATTTGCATTTTAATTAGGGAAATAAGTATTTGACCCCCTCTCAATCAGAAAGATTTCTGGCTCCCAGGTGTCTTTTATACAGGTAACGAGCTGAGATTAGGAGCACACTCTTAAAAAAGTGTGCTACTAATCTCAGCTGTTACCTGTATAAAAGTCACCTGTCCACAGAAGCAATCAATCAATCAGATTCCAAACTCTCCACCATGGCCAAGACCAAAGAGCTCTCCAAGGATGTCAGGGACAAGATTGTAGACCTACACAAGGCTGGAATGGGCTAAAAGACCATCGCCAAGCAGCTTGGTGAGAAGGTGACAACAGTTGGTGCGATTATTCGCAAATGGAAGAAACACAAAAGAACTGTCAATCTCCCTCGGCCTGGGGCTCCATGCAAGATCTCACCTCGTGGAGTTGCAATGATCATGAGAACAGTGAGGAATCAGCCCAGAACTACACGGGAGGATCTTGTCAATGATCTCAAGGCAGCTGGGACCATAGTCACCAAGAAAACAATTGGTAACACACTACGCTGTGAAGGACTGAAATCCTGCAGCGCCCGCAAGGTCCCCCTGCTCAAGAAAGCACATATACATGCCTGTCTGAAGTTCGCCAATGAATATCTGAATGATTCAGAGGAGAACTGGGTGAAAGTGTTGTGGTCAGATGAGACCAAAATGGAGCTCTTTGGCATCAACTCAACTCACTGTGTTTGGAGGAGGAGGAATGCTGCCCATGACCCCAAGAACACCATCCCCACCGTCAAACATGGAGGTGGAAACATTATGCTTTGGGGGTGTTTTTCTGCTAAGGGAACAGGACAACTACAACGCATCAAAGGGATGATGGACGGGGCCATGTACCATCAAATCTTGGGTGAGAACCTCCTCCTCTCAGTCAGGGCATTGAAAATGGGTCGTGGATGGGTATTCCAGCATGACAATGACCCAAAACACACAGCCAAGGCAACAAAGGAGTGTCTCAAGAAGAAGCACATTAAGGTCCTGAAGTGGCCTAGCCAGTCTCCAGACCTTAATCCCATAGAAAATCTGTGGAGGGAGCTGAAGGTTCGAGTTGCCAAACGTCAGCCTCAACCTTAATGACTTGGAGAAGATCTGCAAAGAGGAGTGGGACAAAATCCCTCCTGAGATGTGTGCAAACCTGGTGGCCAACTACAAGAAACGTCTTACCTCTGTGATTGCCAACAAGGGTTTTGCCACCAAGTACTAAGTCATGTTTTGCAGAGGGG